AATTCACCGGGACGGAGTTATGCTTTGAGAGCAAAAGCGATCGGAAAATCTTTGCTAGGATAATACAGTTGTGCAAGGCTTCACCGGTGTGGTTTGGCTTTTAAGGGACACCCAAATATTCATGCATTGTGTTTCACAAGCAATGGCACACTCATTTGATCATGCTTTCAATCCACACGTGACACCCATGCCAATTCTGCCATGGACTGCCATTAGCTAAAGCAGGGGTCTTCAACCTTGGCCCTTTTATGACTTGTGGACTTCAACTCCCAGAATTCCTCAGCCAGGCACACAGACCCCTGAGCTAAAGGATCCAGAAGTCAGGGCCGAAGAGGTTGTGAGGACAAAAATGGAGATTTTGCAGCTCTAGAGATAAGCTCAGATCGAATGGGTGACAGGTAGTCGTCAATTTATAACCACAATGGGGGACCACAATTTCCATTGCTAGATGAGTCACGGCTAATTGTATGAGTTTTCTTGCCACGGCTATTGTGTGAATCAGTGTGGTTGTTAAGTGAATCACATGGTTCTTTAGCCAACCTAGTTCCCCCACTGACTTTATTTGTGAGAAGCCAGCTGGGAAGGTCGCAAACAGTGATCCTGACGCTGCAAGCATCATAAATGCATGCTAAGTAGCCGAGTGCCTAATAAATAATAAATAATAATAATAAAGTTGGAAGGGACCTTGGAGGTCATCGAATCCAACCCCCTGCTCAGGCAGGAAACCCTACACCATTTCAGACAAATGGCTGTCCAGTCTCTTCTTAAAAACTTCCAGTGTTGGAGCATTCACCGCTTCTGGAGGCAGGTAAATTTTGATCACGGGACCCTGGGGATGCTTCAACGGTTATAAATGCAAGGACTTGGCCGTAAATCACTTTTTCAGGGCTGTTGTAAATTCAAACGGCTGCTAAATAAAAGGTTGTAAATTGAAGACCCCGTTATACTGTCAAAAATTCCTTGGAGAAAAAGTGGAATTTTTCTGCACAAAGTCTGCATAGGGATCCCGCATACAGCTCCACATTAAGAGTTAAGTAAACCATGCTTTAATCTCTGGGATTGAGGGCAACTACCCTAATTTAGAATACATTTCTGGCTTGGTGAACTTAAGTTGGCTGGCTGAGGAATTCTGGGAGTTGAAGTCCACAGGTCTTCAAGCTGCTAAGGTTTGGATAACCCTGATTTAGCATGTTGTGGGAGTGGCTTATGCTTAATAAGCAAAGTATGGTTTCTGCGAATCCAGCTGGAGGACTTATTTCTACGTAAAACATGCCCATCAATCTCCTTGATGCACACTCAGCCGGAAGTAAGTTTTATTTAAATGAGTAGAGTTCTAGAATGCCCGCGTTTGAGATCCAGTTAATGTGTAACTTCTTTCTAAATGTTTACTCATGGGAATCTTCCATTTCCTCACCTCTCTCCGGCCGCCTTACATTTTCCAAGTTTCCTGCTATTTAGGAATAATTGAAGAAAAATATGCAAATCCTTTCCTTGCAATTCCAAAGCTGCTTTTTCAGGAGGCAACTGGACTTTCTGGTTTTTCTTTGAAGATATTTCGCTTCTCATCCAAGACAGCTGGTCATTTGCATTCTAAATTTAGAGAGTCCTTGAGGCCGCTTGGAGGTTTACCTGTGACGTCTCTAAAAGAATGCAAATGACCGGCTGTCTGCAAGGAGTATAAATCCTTCCATTCCCCACCATCCAGTCAGAGCTGAAGAAGCTTCTTGGATGAGAAGCGAAACGTCTTCAAAGAAAAACAAGAAAGTCCAGTTGCCTCTTGAAAAAAGCACCTTTGGGATAATCATGACCTGGATGACTGAGAATCTCCATAGACACCGTCTCCTTACAACTTAAAACGGCACAGAAAGGACAGTTTTATAAATTTCTTTCCCCAAACACATTTGAGGAAGACACAAAGAGATCTCAGAGCCACTGAACTATATTTTTCAAAGATCCTGGAGCACTGGGGAACTACCAGAGGACTGGAAAAGAGCTGATGTAGTTCCCATCTTCAAAAAAGGAAAAGAAAATGGATCCAGGAAATTACAGATCTATCAGCCTGACCTCAATACCTGGGAAGATTCTGGAAAAGATAATCAAACAATGAATCAGCAAACACCCAGAGGCAAACAAAGTCATTACTAAGAGCCAACACGGGTTTGTCAAAAACAGATCATGCCAGACAAATCTTATTGCATTCTTTGACCAAGTGACAACATTAGTGGACCAGAGGAATGCTGTGGATATAATTTACTTGGACTTCAGTAAGGCATTTGATAAAGTAGATCATAACCTACTACTCGATAAGATAGAAAAATGTGGGTTATTCAGCATCACCACCAGATGGATCTGTAGCTGGCTGACCGGCCGTACTCAGCGTGTGGTCCTCAATGGAACCGCATCTACATGGAGGGAACTGTGTAGTGGGGTGTCCCAGGGCTCTGTTCTGGGCCCAGTGCTCTTCAACATCTTCATCAACGATCTGGACGAGGGGATAGATGGGGAACTCATCAAATTTGCAGACAACACCAAGCTGGCAGGAATAGCCAACACTCCAGAAGACAGGCTTAAGATACAGGAGGATCTGGACAGACTTGAACACTGGGCGCTATCTAACAAAATGAAATTCAATGGTGAAAAAAGTAAGGTTCTACATTTAGGCAAGAAAAACCAAATGCACACAGGTATAGTAAAGGTAGTACCTTGCTCAATATAATAACTGTGAGAGGGATCTCAGAGTCCTAGTGGACAATCACTTATATATGAACCAGCAGTGTGTGGAAGCTGCCAAAAAAGCCAACACAGTGCTAGGCTGCATTAACAAAGGGATAGAATCAAGATCACGCAAAGTGTTAGTACTGCTTTATAATGCCTTGGTAAGGCCACACTTGGAATACTGCATCCAGTTTTGGTCACCATGATGTAAAAATATGTTGAGACTCTAGAAAGAGTGCAGAGAAGAGCAACAAGGATGATTAGGGGACTGGAGGCTAAAGTATACGAAGAACGGTTGCTGGAATTGGGTATGTCTGGTTTAATGAAGAGAAGGATGAGGGGGGACATGATAGCAGTCTTCCAATATCTCAGGGGCTGCCCCAAAGAAGAGGGAGTCAAGCTATTCTCCAAAGCGCCTGAAGGCAGGACAAGAAGCAACGGATGGAAACTAGTCAAGGAGAGAAGCAATCTAGAACTAAGGAGGAATTTCCTGACAGTGAGAACAATTAACCAGTGGAACAACCTGCCTCCAGAAGCTGTGAATGCTCCAACACTGGAAGTTTTTAAGAAGACATTTGTCTGAAATGGTATAGGGTTTCCTGTCTGAGCAGGGGATTGGACTAGATGACCTCCAAGGTTCCTTCCAATATCATCATCATCATCATCATCATCATCATCATCATCATCATCATCATCAACCTCCTGATAACGAAAGTCAATGAGGAAGCCAGATTCACTTAACAGCCAGGTGACTAATTTAACAACTTCAGTGATTCACATAACAACTGTGGCAAGAAAGGTTGTAAAATGAACCAAAATTTACTTAACCAATGTCTCGCTTAGCAACGGACACTTTGGGCTCCCTTGTGGTCGTAAGTCGAGGACTTAATAACCGTGTTCCTAACTTAACCATTGCAGTGATTCACTTAACCATTCTGGCAAGAGAGGTCGTAAAACGGGGCAAAACTCACTTAACAACTGTCTTGCTTAGCAATGGAAATCTTGGTGTCAATTTCCTGACAGTGAGAACAATTAATCAGTGGAACTACTTGCCACTAGAAGTTGTGAATGCTCCAACACTGGAAGTTATTAAGAACAGATAGGACAACCATTTTTCTGAAATAGTATAGGCCAGAGTTTCTTACCTGAGCAGGGGGTTGGACTAGATGAGCTCCAAGGTCCCTTCCAACTGTATTGTTGTTGTTATTGTTCATGTTGTCGTTATTATTATGTCGCTTAACCCATAATGAGAACACACAGCTTTAAGAAGAGATACTAGACCAGTGGTTCTCAACCTGTGGGTCGGGACCCCATTTGGGGTCGATCGACCATTTCATGGGGGTCGCCAAGCAAGGCTGTCCGCCATTTTTTTTGTCCGCCATTTTTTTTGTCTGCCATTTTTTCCCCTTTTCCGGCAGGTGCTTTACCTCCCTTGGGCTGGGCCAGCTGGTGGTCGGCCTGCTCTGTCTCTGCCGCTTGCCAGCTACGCCTCGGCCGGCGCAGGGGGCAGAACTATGCATGCGCGGCGCTCCCGGGCAGGGAAAGTCCTCGACTTACGACCGGTTGGGTAGTCCTCGACTTACGACTGGTTTAGTCCTCGACTTACAACCGGTTTAGTCCTCGACTTACGACCGGTTTAGTCCTTGACTTACGACCGGTTGCGGTCGCGGCATTAAAAAGGTTGAGAACCACTGTACTAGACAGTCACCTGTCTGAAATCGTAGAGGATCTCCTGCTTGAGCAGGGGGTTGGACTAGAAGACCCCCAAGGTCCCTTACACCTCTGTTATTCTATTCTACTTTAATTGTGGTCGGAAGCAGACGACTACCTGTAAAACTGAAAAGGTGTGGGGTGTTTTTTTTTCCAATTTCCCGGAAGGCAAGGCACCAACCCTCCTTTCTTTGAACTCTGCCCCAGCCTCGCCCACAGTTTGACCTCACTTTGGGAACATCTGAAAAAAAACAGGTCAGGGAGACCGAATTTATTAAAAAAAAAAAAAAGAAAAAAGAAAAAAAAAAGTTTCTCTTCTCGGGGAAGCCGGAGCGGAGGCGGAGCCGAGCGCCGGAGGGGCGGGGCGCCGAGGTGGGAAAGTGGGCGGAGCCACGGAGAGCAGGTGAAACCTACGCCGGGCGGGAGTCGGCTCAGAAGGCGCTGCCGGCGCTGGGCTGGGCGGCTGGGGTTTCTGTTGCGGGACGGGGCGGGCGCGGCCAGCCCGCGTGCCCGGCGGCCGAGCCCGGAGCGGGCGGGCTGGCTCGGAGGAGGAGGCGAGCCGGCGGAGGGGAGCCATGGCGCGGGAGCTGAGCCAAGGCGAGCTGCTGGACTTCCTCTGCCAGGCCGGGGGGCGGGTGGCCAACGCCGCCTTGCTGGGCCACTTCAAGGGCTTCTTGCGCGACCCGCAGGCGCCCCCCGCCCAGCTCCAGCACCGCCGCCAGCTCTTCAAGGGCTTCGTCAACTCCGTGGCCACCGTCAGCCAGGACGGGCCCGGCGCCGCCACCTACGTGGTGCTCAGGAAGCGCTACCGGGACCTGGTCGGGGAGGAGCCGCCACCGACGCCCCGCGACGGTCCGTTCGCTGAGCCGCCGCCGCCGCCTCCAACGCAGGATCGACCCGGCCGATCGCCGCCGCCGCCGCTCCAGCAGGCCAGGTGGGAGCGCGCGGGGAGGTCTCGGGAAGCCGCTTCTCCCTGGGAAATCCCCGGGCCGGATGGCCAACTCGAGACGGGCCGCCGGGCTTCCAGGTGCCCGTCCGGCACACCTGGAGCCGGATCGCGGCCTCCGCCGCCCGCCAGCCCCGCCCTGGGCTGCCTGGGAAGAGAGAAGAAGCGTCACCGGCCGCCCCTCGCCGAGCCCGCCGCCCCGGACCCGCTGCCGCCGCCGCTGCAGGAAAGGGCTCAGCCGTCCAACGGCCTCGGTTTACCCGTCGGAGAAATGGGCGCGCTTCCAAATGCCGGCAGTGCCCAGCAAAGGATTCGGGATTGGATCGCTACTCATCATTCGGCTGCCGCTGAGCCTTCCCGTCCCCTGGCACAAGAGGAGGAAGCCTGGGGGGTCAGAGCGGGGTCCCGAAGCTCAGAGCTGAGCCCCTGCCGCCCGTGGGGGTCCCTGGATGTCAGTCCGAGGTCTGAGTCCTCGGAGGGCTGGCGGGAGCCCCCTGTGCCCGTCTTCCGCAGCATCCGATGCCGGCTTTCCTTGCAGGACTTGGAGGACCATCTGGAGCAGGAGAGCTCGGCCAGCGAAGAGGGCAGCAGCAGCGCCAGCCGGGAGAGCAGCTCCCACCGAGGGGAAGGGGAAACGGGCAGGACGAACAACAACGGGTGCGTCCGAAACTCAGCTGGGCGCCAGGGACCCGGGGGCACCCCTCACAGCAATGGCCTGGGGGAGATGCCCCTTGCCCAGGCCAGCCAAGACTCCAAGAACGGCAAGTCCCCACCGCACGTCGCTTTGCTGCACCGGATTGTTGGGAGAGCTGCCAGTCTGGGCAAAGCAGAAGGCAGGGATCGGTTGAAGCCAAAGCCGTGGAAGATGGACAGACCGGCATCCCCAACTCTGGATGCCCCCTTAAGTCCCTGGTTGGCACCCAGACAAAGACCCGTGGCGAATGCCCCGTTTGTGGAGAGGCTGGCCCCTAACCCAGATGGGCCTGCTGAGCACAGGTCTTCCTTGGTACCCCTGGACGGTCGAGAACACACCTGGCTGGTGAAAATAGCCACGGGGTCCTGGCTGCAGGTCCGGGCACTGCTCCAGGAAGACCCTCAGCTGGTGCTCCACAGGGACTTCATCTCTGGCTTCACGGTGCTTCACTGGCTGGCTAAACACGGGAATGCCCAGGTGCTGCAGGACTTTGTCACCGGTGCCCAGGAGGCAGGGATTGTGCTGGACGTCAATGTCAGGTCCGGTTGTGGCTACACCCCGCTGCATATGGCAGCCATCCACAACCACCCCGTGATCATGAAGATCCTGGTGCAGAAGCTGCAGTGCCGGACGCAAGTCCGGGACAGTAGCGGCAAGAGACCTTGGCAGTATTTGAGCACCAGCGCTTCTGGAGAAATATGGCAGCTTTTGGGGGGCCCACGAGGCAGGACCATCTTCCCGACTCATCCAATCATCAGACCATCCACGGCCCCTTCTTCATCATCAGTGTCCCTAGCCAGGAAAGTGAGCAGAAAGCCCTCCTTGGCAAACTACTTGAAACCTCAACATATGAAATGGAAAGTGGGGGGGCACAAGTGCCCCACCTTACAGGAGATGGAGGAATACAGTGATTAACAACTGCTGTTGTGGCCTTGGGCCAAGACAAAGTGGGGATTCGGATGACCCGGCTCTCCAAAGATGTTAAGGGCTCGGGCTATTTTGGAGCTCATTTAGCTATGTTTAGGGAGAAACTGGAGGGAAAAAAAAATGGCACTTTATTCCTGAACATGTTCGGACATTCAATTTTAACTGGGATGGGGAGAGTCGCTTTACACGCCCCGTGCAGAAGCTTGGGTCTTGGGTCCGTCCTGCAAAATGCTCAGGGAGAATTCTCTGGGCAATCTCGAATACGCCTTTCAGGTCTGTTGCCGAGAATCTGCACTTTAGCTGGTTTTTTTTTTTTTCTTGCAAAAAGCAACTGGGTGGGTGGGTGGGGGAATGAGGATCGAATTTTAAATCCATGTTGGCTTTGAAGTACGGGAAGGTCTTCATGCAAAGATCTTTGAGTTGGGTGTTTGGAGAAGGGGGGGGGGAGGCAGGTTGTCCGTGAAACTACAAGGTCAGTATTGCCAAATGCCATATGTGGACCCAAAGAGAAGGGTGTCATTTGCACTCTTCCCTCACCAGCTGGGATGAATTCTTACCGTTTGCCTTTGGGGACATGTTAAAAAGACGGGCGGGCTGGAATGTCTTAATTAGGTGGGTTAACCTCATTGCAAAGAGTTTGAAACCTCCAAAGAAAAATGCCCAGAGGTTAAAAGAGACAATGAACCTCAACCCACTTGGGAGGTAAAAAGAGAGACCAACAGAAAGTTGATTTTAGTTTATGACTTTGTAAGGCCTGTTAATAAACCTTATTGCTGCTTACATTTATATTTTTGCATCTTCATGTTTACCTTAGAGGTACTTTCTTGTGTGGCGCTGCTACTTAAACTTAGCGAGAGTTTGCATATGCTTCTAAGGATAAATGTCTATGCGGATTCTCAGTCATCCACGTCATGGTTGTCCCAAAGATGCTTTTTGACAAGGCAACTGGACTTTCTTGTTTTTCTTTGAAGACATTTCACTTCTTCAGCTCTGACTGGATGGTGGGGAATTGAAAGGTTTATATTCCTTGCAGATGACTGGTCATTTGCCTTCTTTTTAGAGAGTTGTTGAGGCCACTTGGAGGTCTATCTGTGTCCTCAGGGTCACCTGAGTGGTGCAAATGGGCATGGAGCCTTCTTGGAGCTGCTGAAAATCCTTCCGTTCCCCACCATCCAGTCAGAGCTGAAGAAGCTTCTTGGATGAGAAGCGAAATGTCTTCAAAGAAAATTAAGAAAGTCCAGTTGCCTGCCTTGTGAAAAAGCATCTTTGGGATTCAAAGGATGGAGTAGACTCTAGAAAGAAGATCAGTGGCTGTCCCTATGGCTTCCAGCACTGAAAGCATCCCTCTATAGCAGGGGTCTTCAGACTTGGCCCTTTTATGACTTGTGGACTTCAACTCCCAGAATTCCTCAGCCAGACACGCTGGCTGAGGAATTCTGGGAGTTGAAGTCCACAAGTCATAAAAGGGCCAAGTCTGAAGACCCCTGCTTTATAGAATCAACATGTGGAAGTGTGTGTTTTTTGCAGTGGCACCTTGTGAGTGCTGGAGAGTAGCTGCTCCACAGATTGATGCTCTCCCTGGAGAACATTTAGTGAAGAGACTGGAGTTTAACTCAAATTATAGGATTTGCAGATGAAGGTTCTGGTTTGAACCTAGCTAGGATCTTGGCTTAGCATATGTGAATTCAGCCATTGTAGTTTGTATGTCATGGTTTAGGGCAGGGGTAGGCAACCTCGGCTCTTTTATGACTCATGGACTTCAACTCCCAGAATTCCTGACAGCTTAGCTGACTCAGGAATTCTGGGAGTTGAAGTCGATGAGTCATAAAAGAGCCGAGGTTGCCTACCCCTGGTTTAGGGTTTAATCAGCGCTCAAGAAACCATAGTCAAGGCAATTTGTGGTCTGATAGATGATGGACCTAGCAACAGTAGTACAGGTGACCCTTGACTTAACAACAGTTTGTTTAATGACCAATGGCACTGAAAAAAGTGTTTTAAGACCATTTTTCATAGGACCATTGTAACATCCCCATGGTCACCTGATCAAAATTTCAAAATTTGGCAACTGACTCATACTTATGACAGTTGCAGAGTCCCGGGGCCATGGGATCGCCTTTTGCAGCGTTCTGAGAAGCAAAGTTAATAGGGAAGCCAGATTCACTTAACACAGCCGTGTTAGCAATTTAACAACTGCAGTGATTTACTTCACAAACGTGGCAAGGAAAGTCGTGACATGGGGGAAAACTCACTTAACAAACATCTCACTTAGCAACATAAATTCTGGGCTTAATTGTGGTCGTAAGTTGAGGACTGCCTGTAGTTCAATCCTGTGTGCCTGGCTGAGGAATTCTGGGAGCTGAAGTCCACAAGTCATAAAAGGGCCAAGTTTGAAGACCCCTGAGTTAGAGTTGCTTTGGTTTTTGTAGCACGCTCGGCCAAATTCAGCCGCCTTAGTTTGAAAAATACTAGGTTACGAACTGGCACGTGGTATGCCTTAACCCAACTGGAATTGGTTCAAAATAATTTTTTGATAAACCAACAATGCCTGAGGATAATGTGAAAACCTTGTCATTAAAACCACCTGAAAGGGAGGGAGCGTGGATGCTGGCTTAATGGAGAACAAGGGAATAAAACGACAGGTGCTCAACACTATCCTTGTAAAAGACATCCCAAATTAATAGTGACGTATTTCTTTGCAAGCAAAGGCTGATCAGCAGCGTTGTTTGTATCTCTTTCCCGCCCCCCATATTTGGGACCCCCTTCTTCACTCTGGTGGATTCAAAGCATCCAGGGATGATGGACAGAACTGGAAAGAATTTTAGGAATGTTTAAAATTTCAGGAGGGACTTGCCTGCAGAGATAGCATAATTCAGCCCAAGAGTTTAAAAGATTCTGTTCTTGGTGCAACTAGGAAAAAAAATTACGCTTGCAATTTCTGTGAGTTTATGGTGAAAATCTGGAAAAAGGCAGTTGCCCACCACTTCCTTCATGTTACCAATGTGAGGGCATGGCCATGAAGTCATCCTGAGTCAAGCTTGACCTCAAGGAGACATTTCCGTTTTATATGGCCACACGGTCAGAGGAAATGCATAAATCACTGTCATGCTACACAACCCCCAGTGCAATCAAAGGTAAGCCTAACTCCGTCTCCTGCATGGCACTTTAAATGTATTTGCTCCGGCTGTTGATTAGTTTTCCCTTATTGATGTTTACATTTCTTGCTATAGAAGCATTTTCCGATGTCAGGTTTTATTGCTTAGTTATTTTGGCCGCTGCGGTTCTAATGAAAGGAGCAAGAGAAGGTCAGGAAGGCAAACTGGAATTAAAACATAAACTATCTCTGGCACCTGTAATTAACTGCAATACAGGCAAACAGGTATGTAGCTCAAGACCGTTTAATGAACGTATTAATTACCTTTCTGAGCCCAAGAACAAATGGGAGAAGAATAATATGTCTGGAGATTATGTGAGCTTTCTGAAACTTTGGTCAGGTTTGATGAGTCTGCCAGATCAGGAAGAGCTGAAATCCTTGACTCCTGCCCTTGTTATCGTCCAGATAGACGACTGCAATTCAGTTTGTGTAGGGCTGTCCTTGAAAATGGCTCAGAAACTGCAGCTGATCTCTGTTACAGATCGTGGTTGCCGGTTGATGTTTGTCAATCCAGTAGACAACATCTGCTTCCAGGAGGCTTCTAGGTTCAAATCAGGGTGCTGGTAGCCAACAACAACATGACTACAAAACAGTTCTCAGGTACTGTAGAATCTGCTCGCCCCACACAGCTACAGTGAGAGTATCACCCCAAAAGAGTATATAAACAAGGTTAAATCATGGCAACTGGACCAAAGTTTATTAAACCGAGATGTTTCGTTACTCACGCAAGTAATTTCTTCGGTCAAAATGAAATGTTTTGGTTAGGCAGAGTCAGAAAGTCGTTGGGATGAACTAATTCTTCTCCCCAAAATGAAATGCAATTTGTAAACGTAGACTCAATCATCCATGTACAAATCTGACTCTATGCTTAACCAAAATTTTTCGTTTTGACTAAAGAAGTTACTCGGATGAGTAACAAAACGCTTCAGTTTAATAAACTTTGGTCCAGTTGCCATGCTTTTACCTTTTTACATGCTTTTGGTTGAGATTAAAAAAATAGCAATATCAATAGCATTTAGGCTTGTATATGGCCCCATTGTACTTCATAGCACTTAACTGGGTGGTTTACAGTGTAAGCATTATTTGCATATTACCCCCAGCAATATGTCTTCAAAAGGAAGAGGTATGTGTCAGGAAAATAGACATCCTGAAACAGTGCTATTAAATAAGACTTGGGAATCAAGCTTCTGTGGGCAAATTAATAATGCTAACTCCAATCTCACACCTGACTTTCTGAATCTGTGCTGCTTCCAATTCCTTGATTGACTTTCGGCATAGCATAATTAGCTCTGATTTTTTTTGGATCTTGGGATTTGTCTGCACAGAACTTTGACTTCCGAGTAAGCTTGTTTGCTTTTCCCAGAGTCCTTACATTCCTGTGTTCTGGCAGGATTTATAACTGCCATAAAGAGGGATCTAAGTCTGACCTCCTGCCTTCCTTATTTCTAGTAGAAGACCGAAGCAAACTTCCCAATTTATGGAACCATCTAAGTCCATACGAACGCATAGGTCCTCTTAATAAATGAGAGCTTCAGGACTTAGAAATGTGGTCGCTTGCCAAGAAAAACAAAATGCAGAAGTAAGAGTGGGGCTGGAAATAGCCCAAATCAATTTCATGTTTGCCTTCTGATAAATATTTTATGACCGTATATCCATCACCCTTGGTGGGAACCGTGGTGGCTCAGGGGTTAGAATGCAGTATCGTAGGCTAATTCTGCCACCTGCCAGCAGTTCGATCCTGACCAGCTCAAGGTTCATTCAGCTTTCCATCCTTCCAAGGTCGGTAAAATGAGGATCCAAATGGCTGGGGGCAATATGGAAATAATGCTTACATTGT